TGTTGACAAAATGTACGAGTTCGGCGATTCCCCTACTTCTAGAAACTTCATCCATCTCATGTGTTCCAAAGGATCTTCATTCATTTCAAGAGCCGCTTTAAAATGTTCAACGGCTTCTAGAAACTTCACCTTGCTGTCTATAATACTGATCAAGTGCGCGAAAGTTGTTCTCTGGTTCTCGCAAAGCCATTCGCTGGTGTGTGAAGACAATGCCAAACAAGCCTTACGAAACCGAAGGTCGTGTTGGCCGATTACCTTTATTTCAATATGGAGAAGCATTATGGATACCACGTAAAGACTACATGCTACTGCAGAATCACCGCCTGGTTCGTGCAGTGATGCTTTGAATTTTTTAACCCAAGAATATACAGCCGCGTGCATAAAACCTTCCCACCTGTAAGAGAAAGACCATCACGATCAAAATGCATTGGTCTGTGTCGTTTTGTGCAAATTTACAACATTTTTGCTAAAGACATCTGGTCAAGGAGGTTGAAAGGTGTGTATAACTAATAAAGATATAAATCAGACAAAAATGAGTTAAACCTATCATGTCACCTGAGCCGAGTGGAAGATGCCACTAAACATTATTTATTTACACTCTTTGGCTTTTGTTGTTTATTCTACAAAGGAAAAGAAGAAAAACAGAATCCTAAGAACTCCCAGAGTCCCATGATACTGGTTAATGTTACACCACGTGCATAAGGAAGCTAGTTTTGCAGCACGGATGAGATAAGTCCGAGACTACAAGCAACCATCCACGTAAAGAAATACATTACCTCACATATGGGACGTAAACATCAAGCTTAGTAAAAAAAACATGGTGAGAAACGAAAGAAATGACAAACTATTATTGTTACTGAAAGAGTTTCATCGGATTCCAAAAATTTAGCAGCAAAACCCCAAAACATTGAACTACATCAGTAATAAGTAACTCTTAGAGTATGCATAAGAGCATGGTAAGGTGACATTCCGCATAGCACGTTCAGCAGAAAGCAGTCAGATCAGTGATGACAGTGATGAGACTTAAGGCGAAAAAAGTGAACTGATAAGAAACCCAAATTCAGACTGAAGATCATGAAGAAGTTTGAACTTTTGCATGGCCCAAGTGAAAATATCAATCCGGACTATGTTGGGAAAACACACGAAGCTACAACTAAATACATCTGAAGTTGTCTTTTCCTGGGACGTAGTTAAAATCAGGATATATTGTCTTGAACTGAGACTAGTTTCGTAAATGAATAGACAAACAAATAACTGTATACATAAATATAATAGCTGTCTCATCCAAAATAACCTATTTTATCGTATAGTCCTATATATTTTGCAGCACCAAGAAATCCTAACTATAAGCCCAGAACAAAGGTTCACATTATATATACACCCAAATGCCCTAACTAAGCAGAAAGCTGATTTTACTGCACCAATAGGCAGGAGCATCTAGAAGCCCATCCGCTCATGCCATATTGACTATACCTTATGGAAAATAGCAAGACAAAAATGACATCAAAATGGCTCTATAAATAAGTTCACAAAATTATCAAATACAATAATATGCCTAATGATGAATCAATTCAAAGCTACTCACTCAAATGGAGGCTCGACTTCAATCGCCAGCGTCAAATGCAAAGAAGCACCATTGCTCACATTATCAAATTCATTCACATCAGTAGTTGCCTCATGTGGAAAGCCTCTCGGAATATACAAAACATCCCCTCTTTTCACCACAAACTGTCTGCACTCATCAAACTCACAACTTTCATCCTCCAAATCATCCAGCGAACCACCGCATGACTCATACAAGCGGGGCAACTTAAAATCCGACTGGGAAAACACTCTCCATCTTTTGGCACCAACAATTTGGCACACTATCACACAGTGGTCGTCACTGTGCCTAGCCAAGCCTTGCGAATTAAATGGTGTCAGGTACATATTAACACCTGCCGAGGGCTGCCCAAAGAGAGATGCCAGCTCATCGGCAATAGCAGCTATAGCTGGGTCACGAAATTCGATGCCACGTACAGCGATGGAATAGCCTTTCTTAAATGCTTCTTCACATTTTTCGGCATCATCAATACTTAGAACATGGGGATTGGGAAAATAGTGCAACTCTTTTCCACCATGCTCTGTTTTCACGACACGAATATCTTGGTGGTAATATATAGGATGACCAAGATTGTTCTTTATGTCCTTGATGACTTGCAGAATATCTAATTCATCTGATACGATTGCTGGGCATGAAATAATGCGTTTTAGAAAGGAAGGAAGAAAGGTAGAAATTTTGTCTTTTAAACCGAAAAACTGGATGAAAGCGCCGAAAATACTATCAGGGTTTGTTGAAGAATTTGAAGTGTTCCTTATAAGCATAGGAGAAGTCTCCCAAATATCTGATAAAAATGGTTCCATGCCGATTTTCCCCAAATAGAAATTTCTTTTCTTAGGAGGTTTAAAGTCTATGGTTTTTGGGTGCAGGTTACAGTTAATGGATAGCCTAAATATGCTTTCTAACAAATTATTCGTCTTGATGTTTCTCAAGCAGAACTCATCTCCCCGCATAGAAGCAGAGCCATATATTCCCTCCCCACGTTCTTGTCTCCAAATTCTTTTCAGAAGCTTTGAAAAATTTTCAGCTAGCTCAATTGGTAAATGCTCCAGCTGCTCAATCGTGCATGAATTTATAAGAGTAATGGCACCCTGAAGAAGCAATAGTAGATACTCATCTTTCTCCAACAATTTCACATTACCAATGGGACAAAATTTCGGAAATTTGCATGCCTGCATGAAGCGAAGACTGGTAGATGTTAATCGAGGGTGAACAATGAATTCATCATCAAGGACAATTAACAGATAGAAAGGGATTTATATTGTTTTAGGTCTTACATAATAGTGTAGTGCTTCAAAGTAAAATCTACAAGTTAATTTTCGGGATGGCAATATTAAAACCCCCGGGCCACGTTACATCCAAGACAGAAAATCTAAGCAAATACATTCATCAAACAACCGTAAACTGTACAAATACTAAGTATAATACTAGCCTAAAGTTCACTTCGATAACCAGTTCGTTTCAAAATGACACAATTTTCCCATCTAAATAAGTATTTTCCTCATAAAAAATAAATTAATAAAAACGATGCTCACAGAAGATTATCGACAGCACCAAATTCAAGCAGCCGCCAGCGCCCAACCAATGTGGTGGATATATCCAACACAGCATTACAAGAGGCCATTGCGATTTCCTTTTCCGAACTCCCTAACAGTGAGATTAAGCCCTTCACAATCTCATCATCCAAAGCAACTTTTTCGTTCATTTCCAATGATGATAGTGAGGCAGCACCAGCAATCTCCACAGCTTTACACACGACTTCACGGCAATTTCTGTTTACAAAATAAATTAGCAAAAAACATAACAAGAGAAGAAACAAATGAAGAAGAAGAAGAACTACAAATGTACTGATAATATCATGCCAACTATAACAAAACTCTGAAACCCACATAATCTGCAAATGAACAACATATAAATTTTCAATCTTGCGTCAATTTCACCAACACCAAAGCATCAAGAATACCACATACAGCTCTGAATCCCACCATTATCTATCTTTTCTCTATGAAAGAAAAGGGAGGAGCAAATCAATACACAGAACCAGACACAGGTTACGAGGATAAAAAAAATTCAGTTCAGAAAATGTTGCACTGTAATTACTTGAATTTAAGGAGTGAAGGTAGCATGGCGAGGACTGGAGACAGATCGATTTGGGGAAGAGACAGAAGTACTCTGTTCAAGCGTTTTATAATTTGGTCTTCTTGTTTTTGAGATTTTGAACAACAAATGGAGGCCAATAGAGAAGGAAAAAATGTTGCCTCGAGCTCAGTGTTGATCCTTGTCTTCTTATTCTTCTTGTTATTCGTCTTCACCATTCTTCCACCTCTCTTCTTCATCTCCGGTTCTATAGTTCTGTTATCGTTTACTGGTTATTTTTTTGGCTGAAGAGTATGAACGATGAAACCTTTCAAGAAGTGGTCCTAAATTTTGTCTGTCGGGTTAATCGGCCCATATTACTTTTAGTTAATGGATATAGAATTTTGATTGTTCGGATAAAAATAAAATGACTTGAAAGCGGAAAATTAATAGAATCATTAAAACTTCGTTTCGTTCATTGGGTTAAAGACAGGGTCGTAAACTTAAGCAATACTGGGTTATAGAGTGAAAGCATATATAAAACAAGGGTTTTCATGACTTTCAAATAAGACAAAATCCTGGATGCACGGGAACGAACGAAGCGAAGCGAAGTGAAGGAAAAGACTGAAAGGTACAAACTAAGCGAAGCGAAGTTCAGTCATATAACTTCTGAGGGGAAGATCCGCTTCTTTTTCGCTTCAAGCAGATTTCGAACCAAAAAGAGGATCGATCGAGGAAAAGGCACTCTGGGTTAGCCAGCAAACCTGTAAAAAAGTGGGAAAAATATGTTCTGTATTATTCACAAAGACATATACACATATATATAGATACATAGAAGGCCTAAACATAACTTATTGTACAAGAAAACATTTAACATAACTAACACCCCCCCTCAAACTCAAGGTGGTATAGTGGAGATCAACTTGAGTTTGCTAAGAAGTAAACAAAAGCGACCGGGAAGGAGAGACTTCGTGAAGACATCCGCTGGTTGATCTATAGAGGAAACAGAAACAAGCTTCACAGTCCCATGTGCAACATGCTGTCGAATGAAGTGACAGTCAATTTCAATATGCTTGGTACGCTCATGAAAGGTATCATTATGAGACATCTTTATAGCACTCTGACTATCACAATGTAAAGCAGTAGACACCGACTGAGGTGCACCAAGATCAGCAAGTAGTCGACGCAGCCATTATAACTCTGAGGTGGAATCAACAAGAGCACGATACTCAGACTCATCACTCGATCTGGAAACCAATGTTTGCTTCTTACTGCGCCAAGAGACAAGTGAATCACCAAGAAAGAAGCAGTACCCAGTAATAGAACGACGATCAGTAGGATCTCCAGCCCAATCTGCATCAGAATAACCGCTAAGCATCAAAGAAGAATGGGTCGAGAAGTGTAAACCATGCAATAGAGTGCCCTTCACATAGCGAAGGATGTGCAACACAGCGGAATGATGCGTGGTTCTCGGAGCAGCCATAAATTGACTCACAATATGAACAGCATGAGCTATATCAGGCTGAGTGACAGTCAAGTATATCAAACTCCCAACAAACTGACGATATAATGTAGGATCCTCAAGAAGAGAGCCATCAAGTGGAGTAAGACGAACATCATAATCAAGAGGAGTGGAAGCTGTCTGAAAATCAGTGAGACCGGCCTGAGCAAGAAGATCAGAGGCATACTTGGCTTGAGACAAATAGAATCCATCAGACGAATCAAAGATCTCAAGACCCAAAAAATAGCGAAGCTGTCCCAAACTCTTCATCTCAAAATGCTGACGAAGATAATCCTGCAAATCGGAAATACCGGTAATATCATCCCCCGTGATGATCATATCGTCAACATAGAGTAGCAAAATAATG